GGGCGTCTATCTCGGCCATGTCGGCCGCCTGGTGGTCCGAGCTGTAGTCTGCGTGAGCAGGGGCATGGGCTGGGAGGGGCCTGAGCCCCGGAGCTCGCGACCAACCAGCGCCCTGGGCGCATCCAGCCGCCCTGGGGCCGGTGGGGGGGAGGAGGAGGCCCAGGCTCACCTTTGATGGGGACCCAGCCCCCCGAATGGGCCAGGCGTCTCTGATGGCGGCCGCGTTCGAGGGGCGTGGCCTTCTGCTGCTGGGGGAGGCACGAGGGGGTGAGGCACCCTCCCTCTATTCCTGCCCCCTACATCCTACCGGAAATTCTGAACCTAAAGACCTCAGAAAAAATGAAGGCTGGCACCTAAGGGGCACTTCCTCTGTGCAAAATGACCTCCTCGCATCTGCCCCAGAACCCTTGACGTGAATAGTCTAACCAAGCCCACTTCACCGATAAAGAAACCGAGGCACGGAGAGCTAAGTAACTACCGTGAGTCAGACGTGACAGGATGGGGAGCCAGGTTTGAGATCCGGCAATTCGAGGCCAGAGCAGGTGCTCTGACCAGCGTCCTCTGCCCCCAGCATCCCCCCGACCTGGCTTCCGGTGGTGTCATGCCGCCCCACCTCCTCCAGGGCCCGAGAAGGACACGCACCCTGCTGGACCCGCTCCAGGTGGTGGGGCTGGGCGGCTTCCCGCGGCGGCCAGCGCTGGGGGAGGGAGGAATCAGGGACCATTGGGGGTCTTTGGGCCCTCCCACCCCGCCCTCCGTCGTTTCAAGGCTCCAGCACCCAGTTTCCCCGCAGAAGACTGTTTCCAGTCTCCGCAGACACCCGCTGGAGGCGGTCGGTCCCCAGCCCGAGTTTTACCCTCTAGGCAGCGATTCCGAGAAATCCTCCAACTCGCTGCAGGAGCTGGCGGACGAGCCGCGGCTGCGCACACTGTCCACTAGGGGGAGAAGGACGCGCTCAGCCTCCGCCCCGCCCGCCGCCCCGCCCGCCCGCCGGCCGCGCTCCGCCCCGTTACCCGAGGAGGGGCGGTTCCGCGAGCGGGTGGCCGCGTCCCCTCGGCCGCTCACGGCGGCGGGGGCCCGAGTCTGGCGAGACCAGGAGATGGACGGGCCGTCCCCGCTTCCTCCGCTGCCCAGTCGGTTCCGCTGCTGCTGCCTGGGGAGCGGGAAGGAGACGCCCGCCTGTGCGCCCAAGCAATATGGGGAAGGGCGGCGCTGCGCCCCCGGGGACCACAGCCAAGGCCGCTGACCCACCTGAGGTCACGTGGCCTAAGTAGGGAGAAAGCATGCGGAGTCACAGACCGTGCCAGGGGGGTGTCAGGTGAGAAGAGGGAGCCGCTAGGGGAAGGGGAGAGATGGAGCAGGCGACAGGTGATGGAGACAGGTGATGGAGACCGGGATAGATGAGGGCACAGGTCAGGGGACCAGGCAAAGGGGCGGGGTATGGGCAGGAGAGGGGAAATGCGCGCTAACTTCATCTTGATCTCTCTCTGCTTCTTCTCCTTGGCTTTCACAAAGGCTGTGGGGTCGAAACGGGGCACGCGACCACCTAGGACGGGGGCGGGGCGGGGGTGGAGAGAAGAGGAGGCGGGGTTACGGGATGGCTCCTCCGCGTTCTAGTCCGTTCCACCCCCTCCCACGGGCGCCCGGCACACACCTGTGGGCGAGGGCGAGGGGCGGGCAGGGCGGCCTCGACCCCGGCCTCCGCGGCCGCTCTCTCGGGAGGACGAGCGGGCGGCGCCGCGGCCACGCGACGTGGAGCGCTCCCGGGACGACGAGGCCCGATCCGCGGGCGGTCCCACCGGCGGAGTCCGTCTCCTGCAGCCCAGGACGCACTGTCGGTTTCCCGCCGGCCAGGACACTCGTATCCCAAGCCCCTTCCTGGATCGAACCGTCTCCGAACCTTCAGGTCCAGCCCCCCATCATCTCCTAGCCATTCGCGCCCTTGCACACCACCCTCATAGACACCGTCTCTCAGGCTGCGCCCCTCTCGGAGCCCCACAGAGCCCCCAAAAGGAACCTGTCACTTCTCTACATCCTAGCACCCCCTTGCATTGGACCCTTCTTCCTGAGGTTTCCCCCAGCGCCCCGGAAACCCTTCCCAATTTTCCACTACCCACCCCCATAAACGCCAGCTGACCTCAACCAGAGCCCCATCTCCCGGGCCCCGCCCTCTCGCTCCACTAGACGCTGAGGCCCCGCCCCTCTCCTGTCCCCATCTGCAGGCCCAGCCTCCTGAGGCCGCCTCCAGCCCTGCCATCTCTCCACCGGCCCCGCCCACCGATTCCTACTAGGTATCGGAGTCCTTCCCTATGTCCCATGCAGTCCCTTAGGTCTCTCCATAATCATGGAAACAAAAAGTATTTAAAATTATTTATTTTATCATTACGCACATTGAAGGAAAGCATAACAGATGCCAGTGGATTTACCCACCATAAAATTTTTTGAACCCATTTCATAAGCTAGAAACACCAGCTTGAAGAGGTACCGGCATGTTCCACTTGGGATAATATCTCTTCTGCAAACAATTGTCTTATATTTGCAGCATGTTGAAAAACATATTGTCTTGTAAGTCCTTTGTTCTTCTGAGTCGCGATCCCTAAGAGTTCAAGGTACTTTGGGGGAATCCTGGATGACCTGATGAGTGCATGAAAATCAAGGTTTGCACTCTGAAAACACTCTTAAATACACACAAGTGTTGTTTGGGTGTGGAGCTCAGATTCCTCCTACTGGCGCTAGGACGTTTTGAGGACGCTTTATGAAAGTTTCAGGTCAGTTTCGATTGTTCCTTTTTCCTTCCTCCTGAGCTTCCTTTTCCATTTTCTTCTGTTTTTTGCTGCTCTCTGTTCTCCATCTGCTACTTTCTGCTGCTACAGAACTTCTGCTCGCCAGGCCACACCTTCTTCCCGTGCATTGGTATTTTCTTGCCGGGTGCATCTGTCACCTAATTCTGGAGATGGATGCATAAAAAGAATATCTCATGTAGCTGCTAATTTACTAGAGAATCTGTGCTACCAATTGACTAGTGAAAATTTAATGGTTCACTCTTCCCAATACTGATTTTCTGAGGGTTTTTTTTTTTTTTTTGGAGTTTCATGAAATTTTTTTTTCCAGTAATTTTATTGAGGTCATAATGGTCTATAACATTGTGTAGTTTCCGGTGTACATTATTATTTATCAATTTCTGAATAGACTTCATTGTGCTCACCTCCAGAAGTCTACTTTTTGTCTGTTGCCGTACTTATGTACCCATTAACCCCTTTCACCCACCCCTAAACCCCTTCCCCTCTGGTAACCACAAATCTGTCTCGTTGTCCATGTGTTTGTTTATCTTCCACACATGAGTGAAATCATGTAGTATTTGTCTTTCTCTGTCTGGCTTATTTCGCTTAACATCATACCGTCAAGGTCTATCCATGTTGTTGCAAATGGGACAGTTTCGTCTCTTTTATGGCTGAGCATATTTCATTGTATGTATATACCACATCTTCATTATCCATTCATCCGTAGAAGGGCACTTGGGTTGCTTCCACATCTTGCCTATTGTGAATAATACTGCAATGAACATAGGGGTGCATAAATCTCTTTGGATCGTTGATTTCAAGTTCTCTGGATAGATACCCAGTAGTGGGATGGCTGGGTCATATGGTATTTCTATTTTTAATATTTTGATAAATCTCCGTGCTGTTTTCCATAGTGGCTGCACCAGTTTGCATTCCCACCAGTAGCACATAAGGGTTCCCTGTTCTCCACACCCTTTCCAACATTTGTCATTTGGTTTTATGAGTTTTCCTTCTAGTTGTTATCATGTCCTTAAAATTGTCGGGTTCCACTGTGTTTCCTGCTGTTTTTCGTAGTGTGGCCACATTCCCAGTCCCTCCTTCTGTCTTTACACGTGTGGGTGCATCTTCCTCCCGGGAGGTCCATCTTCAACGTCTGTCTGCTCAGGAACTTTGAACAATTAACTGTAGTTGGCAAAGTTACTTGATCTCCACTTAATTATCATCCTCTGCCAGATCTGCATATTAATCCCTTTAGGAGTGAGAATGCTGTTGCTGGGCACGCACAGACTTCAAGTAGCTGAAACTGACAGCTATGGTGGGGATCCAAACCCGCCTCTCCCGCTCAGAGCTGCCACGGGCTGCTCTCAGACACAAGGCGCGGACACTGGTGCTACACTGATTGACTTTTGAAGGTCAAGCACACCTGTGCTGCTGGGTTAAACCTTATATGGTCATGGTATACATCGGTGGGTTCTGTTTCTTCATACTTTGTTAGGAATTTTTGCCTCTATTTTTGTGAGGGTTCTTGGTCTGTTATTTTTTCTTTTTCTGTAATATCTTTTTTTCTGGTTTTGGTATCTGGATTATGCTGGCCTCATAACATAACTTAGGAAGTATGCCCTACCTCTATTCTCTGAAAAAGCTTGTATGAGGTGGTTATTTCTTCTTTGAATATTTCATAGAATTCACCAGTAGAACTGTCAGGGTCTGGGAATTTACTCCATTTACAGGCCAACAAATTATTCTGAAACTGTCTCATAAATGTTGGCAGAAGACACAAAATACCAGGTCAGAGACAAAGGACTTTGGTACTCACAGCGCATCAAAAGTAGGAGCATTAGCATATGTGTTTTCTTTCCTCTTTTCCCCCCAAAACAGTGGGGTTGATGCAGAGGGAGCCAGAGTCTCACACCACACATGCATTAGGGCTATTTCCCCCTGGAGAACACAGAGCTTGGGGAATCCTCCACTTTTACAGAAGCAGTAGGGAGCCTGCTGGATCTTGGGGGAAATGTTAACTCACCCTTCAAGGCTGCTTGCTGTAAACATAACCCTAAGAAATGGCCTGGACCAAGAGCAGTCAGGACAAAGATTCTAGTCATGCCCGTGAGAATACACAGGGAGGCTCCATTCCTATTGCAGGTTGCCTCTCTCGACAATGAACCCCTTGGCATGACACATTTTTGGCCAGACTTGAATTTTCACATGAGCATGCCGCTCCACTGGCCACTCTGATTAGTCTGACTGATAGATGCTGGGACCCAGTCTCTTCAATTTGTCTCATCCAGTATTTAATGGAGACAACCATCAACAGAACTCCAGGAAGCAACACGAGTCCAGCCTGCAGGATTGACCTCAATGATGCTCCCCGTGGTCCAGCGTCAGACAACTGTGACCACGTCGCGGGGGGAACAGTGGGTCTTATTTTATGCAGCCAGGATGTGTCTACAACCCAAGCAAGCGAGTTTAGACGGACCTGCGGATCTTTGGTGACATTGCCGATAATTACAGGGAGCGATAGATGGGCCGAAAAAGAAACCTCCAGCCTCAGTGGATAGAAACTTTGTGGCCCATCTTCCCCCACATACAAACATGTAACCTGAAGGGACACAGAGCACCCCAGCTCAGGATTTGTTGTGAAACCCACCTTGGATCACCAGCCACAGATTTGGCTGAGGCACATAGGCAGTGGCACCAAGCAGGTGCAGCCTCAGTTGCCGTACATGGCACAGCCCAAGGATGACCAGGTGCCGGGGGAGGCACACGAACTGAGTCAGTCAGCCTGAATCGAGGTTTGTCAGTCTGTGTCTCTGTGCACACAGGAGGGAGGCGCTGTGGACGGCATACCCACACGGGTTTCCTGTTTTCACAGCAGACAGGTGAGGATGACACCCAGCAGCAGACCTGATTGTCAGCAGCAGCTGTTTCTGGACTCAGGCGGCAGTGCTGAATCCAGGGGACAAAGGGAGCACTCACTGTTTTCCCCTTGAGTACTGTGCTCGGGGGCCTGTGGTGTTCCCTCCCCAAGCACTGAGGTTATTGTTGCCCCTGCACGGCCACAAAGTCAGTGTGTCCCCTCCAGGAGCTATAACTTCACCCTTTTGTTCTGTCCATCCCCTATTTGCACCCAGACCTTTCACCCAGAAGAGTCAGGTGTGAGTGGAACAAGGTGATTTTTACATTTTTCGAAACTCATTGTATTTCCTCCCTTGCCACCCATGTGACCACAAAGGGGGTAACTCAGCAAGCAGTGTACTCAACCAAGCGGCCATTATCTTTGTGATCTAGGACCATATCAACCCAACGAGAGAAGCCAGGGGGCTGAACCAGAATTAACTTGGAATCTCCAAGGCTCCTGTGGGCTGTGCCAGAGGATGAACCAACCAGGCCGGCCTGGAAATGTTAGTAGGGGAAACGAAGACGCATCATGCCCAGGCCTGGTCAAGGTGGGATTCTGAATTGTCAAATAGGTCTGTATAACCCCCATGTATAGTAAAGAATTAACTTCACCCAGAGACAGGTCTGCCCCTTGCCTGGCTCCTGGGACGTGATATTTAAGCCTTTGGGCTGTCCTGCCTGATAAGAGCATCTTTGTTTACCTGGGGGCTTTGGGATGGGCCAGATAGTCTATGGGGACAATGATTTACAGTGGTGGCTCTGGGCCAATGGTATCTGCTCAGCCTCCAGAGGGGCTGAAGGCCGAGGTCAGCCACACAGGCTGTCAATCATGTCTATGTGACCAAGTGTCAGTAAAAACTCTGGACACTAAGGCTCAGGTGAGCTGGTTGGAAATACTCCGTGATCGTCGTCACACATCCTTGCTGGAAGGGTTAGCATTGTTCACGACTCCACGGGGAGAGACAACTGGACGCTCACGCCTGGTCTCTGCTGGACTCTGCCCCATGCGCCTCATCCCCTGGCTGATTTTAATCTGTTCCTTTTTCTGTAATAAACCATAACTGTGAGTGGAACAGCTTTCCATGAGTTCTGTGAGTCCTTCTAGCAAATTGTCCAACCCGAGGGTGGTCTCGGGGACCCCCCAAGACTTTACAGCCCATAATCCCCCACCATTTTGTCGTGATCATTGTCCAGGAAATGGCCAAGGAGAGATGACCCCTTTCTGGGAACTGCTGCTTTCAGTGGTCAATCTGTCTTCCTCAGGTGTAGACGCTAGGAGAAGTTGAGGGGGGTGAGTGGGGACTCTTTCAGAGCTGGTTTTGAAAGCTGTTTCAGCACTTAGCACACCGCAGGCCCGTGGACCACAGGGAGGGAAGGCCCACCTGGACTGTCAGTCCACTGTTGAGTGAGTTTGCAGTGAAAAGTGCTTCATCGTCAGACTGAAGACAGTTGCAAAAGCCACCGTGTAGTGGGCAGAGTCAGCAGGTCAGGCTGGACCAGCAACGCTGTAACCTGAAAAAGTGTCAAGAGCAGGGAGGTGTCGTCATGGGTTGAACTGTGGCCCCCAAAATTGTGAAGACCTAACCCCCAATACCTGTGAATGTGACCTTGTTTGCTAACAGGGTCTTTGCCGATGATCAAGTTAAGATGAGGTCGTTAGTTCTCTATATCAATTACACCTAAATAAAACTGTTTTTTAAAAAAGATGAGGTCACTTGTGTGGGCTCTAATCCAATATAACTGTTATCCTTATAAAAGGGGGAAATTTGAGGAAAGATGGAGAGTGACGTTACCAATGTGACAGCGTAAGAATTTCCTATCGTCCACACCCAAAGGCGCTGCTTATGACTGTGAAAGATGACAAGAGTGGAGCCATATTAAAACAGAGCCAGAGCAGCCACTTCAGAGGAATGTCCTTCCACATCTTGTTTTCTTTATCTTCCAAACTGGACCAAACCGCCAACATCCCAAGAAGTCAGCAAGGACAAGAACATCCTGTCTGTGAGAAGTGATGGAACTGGACTTTGCTGATGGCTGAATCGCTCACCATCCATGGGGTACCAGCCTAGCCTCTTGCCTGATGACTAAATCTCAAGCCAGTCTACGAGGTACACACCTAGCCTCACCTCAACCCGCACCAATGAACTCTTCCCTAATACAATTTGCTTCATCTTCCTCCCTTCTCCCCATAAAAGCCCTCAGCCCTCTCCTGTAATCGGGACGCTCTTTGGGTTTCTCCCTGAATCTGTGCTCCCCAATTGCAATTCTTTGATCCCAAATAAACGCTTTGCCTCTTAAACTGGTTTCTGTTTCTGTAGAGTGAAATAACGGTCACCTGTGGAGGAGAGGACCCTCGTGGGAGTCAAGGAGTCCAGCAGAGAAGTTCCAGGACAGCACTGGGGCAAAACAATCTGAGACTGGAAGCCCTGACGAGGGTAAGAGAACAGCTTCACTTTAGACAGACACCCCCGCCCCAAGGCGGCACAGCTCAGCGCCAAGAGAGGCCTCCTTGGTCCCTGACTTCTCCCTCAGAGGAAAGTTCATACCAAGCAATGGGCTCACCCTGCTTGCTGTGATCTGAGCCAATGAATCACAGTGAGTTAGGGATCGAGAGAGGAAGTCTAATTAGAGTAGATCAGCTGGCAGATCAGAAGACGGGTGACTAATGTCTCAAAAAGCCATCTGCAAGGACTCCAGAATCTTGAGGCAGTTAGAGAGGGAAAATGGGCCACGAGGAGGGGTCCAGGGATGCTGGGCTCCAGGCATCACACTGTTCCATTCTTCTGTCAGCTGCAATGGACACCTTGTAGGTGTGTTTCTCGCGTGTGGTCAGCCTGTTCCTGGAAAGAAGCTAATAGAACAAAGTTTTAATTTATTAAGCTCTTGGGGAGTCCATGCGTAAGCAGAGGCCATATATCAGGACAGCATGTGGGTTTTTTGGGTCCCAGCTCTATGGAGGAGTGAGTGGTGAGAAGAATCTCAAAGGGCCCGTCCATTTGGGTGACGACTGGTTTTCGAGTCCCTGGTCTTTCCAAGTTTTCAGTGAAACATGATCATCAGGTCGGAAGGCATGTGGAGGGACGTCAGACAGATAAGCAAATTCATGGACAGAAGTTAATGCCGAGCTTAATGATTTAACGTAATTAGCAATCGTGACGTCCCTTAAAACATGCAGAGATCAGTCCCAGGGGAAGATGCCTGAACGGGTCTCCCATATGGAATTTTGAAAGGACCGATGGGGAGCTCCTG